CTGAGAAATTTTGCACAATACAGGATAAAATTGGATTATTCGGTGTGTGTAGGATCCACTCAAAATGAGGGAAGCGTAATTTCAAATGCTGGGTAGTAAAGAATTTACTGTGGCACATTGCGTTAGATGGAAGCCAAAGACGCGCAACGTGCGGCCTTTCCAGCGAAACTCATTCGTATTTTATGAAATCTTGTAGGGTTGTAGATAGAAGGTATAAACGTAATCTTAGTTTCTATGGAATCCGAAGGTTTATGGCTCAATCTCTGGTCTTTAGCTAATATTCGCCTACTGGTTCTCTATTGCTACAGACCACTGAGGCTTTATCCACAGATGAACGACCATAAAGTGCAATGAGCCAAGGCTACTGAGGTTTTGACAATAATCGATCCAACTGCTTGACCACAGACAACTTTTACAATCGTGGATTGCTTGTCAACACTGGGTCGAGGAGATCAGCTTTCGGATACAACAATCAGCCGATAGCTCTCGGCTACTGACAGTAGTGTGGTTTTGTCCCAAAGACTCTGAGCCATAGCTGCAAACATAAGGACTACCTGTTTGTTTAAAAACGAGGATTTATATGCTGAAACGGAGCACCCTTAGTTTTGACAGAGATCACTGCAGGTTTCGACTGTGGTACTCACGTACTTTATGGTTTGTTGAGTAAAATAATTCTTCTGAGCTTAGGATTTTCTCCGAACCGCAATATGTATGGAACGTAATTATTAAATGCACAGGGCGCATTTGTGAGCGGTTCGTTTTCCATTCGCCAAGATGCAGCAAACAAAGCTGTTAGGAAAAGAGGAGCGTTATCGACTGTGCTGCAGACAGATACCCGAAAGGTCAATTTGATTTCCAAGGTAAAGGAACAACCATCACCGTCAGGGTTAGGGCATCAGAATTATTCTCTTTTGATGATACTCACGAGTGTAGCGATTATTTTGATCTGTCTAAGTAGAAAAACGTACTCAGCATAGAGAAACAGAGAAGTAGCGTCCCCAGATGGGTCAGAAGATCACTGGAACTAGTGATTATTTCATAAACCATAAACCATATATAATATGACCAAGTAAAAGGAAGACTTAACAGTAAAATTTTGATTAAAGAATACTTTTCGACAAAAAGCACCGATTCAACAAATTAAAGAAAGTCATGCTTTGTATGAAGCTAAATTTTAGTACTTTGATTGCGTAATAACATTTGTTTTTTTCTCGTTTCAAATGTTATAAATACATTGTCTTTACTGAGAGAGGACTGTAAGAGTAAAGGTGATTTCGATGATTGTGGCTATAAAACAACTTACTTTTTAAAAGGAGAAAATTACATACTTAAATGCCTAACAATATCTGTGGCAACAATTAAAGTAACGATTCTATGATAAACTTTACTTGCACACAAACCAAAATGGAAGACTTATTTCTGTGTAGGGCTCTGAATCGAAGCGAGCTCCAAATAGGCCTTTTCAACACCATTCGTTATCGTGAGACTATGATTTGCAAGGAATTTCCTCACAACAATTCAGAAGTACCTCACTTTGAACCATTTAGTACAGTGCGGATGCATTTGACTTTCCTTCTTGGTGTCGGGGCTCGAGCCGTGCATGGACCGGTGGTTCTATACACCAGTAATGAGGGCAAAACTGCTCTCTGGTACTTAGCTGAGTGAGCTATTTTACGATCGGAATGACTGTGAAGTCTGACGGGGTCTCAATCAAACAGGGCATAATAGTTTTACCTGAAGCTTACATAATTATTATTCCATCAACTCAAACAAGTGGATGTAAAAACAAAACCACGTCAACGATTTGAGAAGTGTGCAGTGAATCAATAATCCGTGCAAAACGAACAGCTGCATCCAATTGAACGGAAGACTTTTAAGTTTGAATAGGCCGGTCGCATAGCATGATATTGATTTGACCAAAAATAACATATGGGCACCAAAGCCCACTCACCCAATGAAGTATACGATGTACCTTGGAAAAGCATTTTCCGCAGTTCCTTCTTATTTGAGGCGTGTCGCAGTGGAAGGCGTAAGAGAATGATACGTATAGGCAGAAGGGTAGATAAAATACAAAAATTCAGCTGATTCAAGCAAGCAACAGCTGAGTATGAAAAAAATGAGGGTAGGGTTACAAAATGAAATTCATATCATGAGGTCACATAACTTTTGGGGACACACGTTCGATTGCACAGAACGGCCTCGGGTGTCTTTTGAATGAGTGAATTTGTGTACCGATTGTACGGTATTTTTATGAATCAGTTCAATTGGAGAGACAAGCAAACAGAGAAAAACGTGTTTGGATCAAATTTGTCGCTGGCCTCTATGTACGCGTGTGTGTGTATGTGTGTGCGTGCACGTGTGCCTCGATGTATACACATCATCTGTCACGCATGCATAAATCAGTTACAAGCACTGATATATTTCGTTTATATTGTGTTGTAATTGCAAGCATTCCTTGCTGGCTTCCTAAATCAGGAGCGTTGTGAACATCCCCCCCCAGGGACTAATATTTAAAGTCTCTGGGTATTGTGTAGCTTATGCTGTATCAACATTGAAGGAAGTTCAATTTGAACGAACGCTTTATTATCCTCAGCACGTATGCGAAACAATGTATCGTTTGAGTTACACTTGAGATTTTTACTCCTAGGAATAACGCATGTTATACGGAAACACTGAAGCTGTATGAGATGTGTCAGATGATTTGACGATATGGGCACATCGTTTAAACCTTATCCAATCCACACGTGTTGCAGCATGCAACCCTCACACCTTATTTCTTGACCAAGCTTTGCAGCATCAAAATTTATAGAAAATAATTTTTTTCAACCTTCGATGACTTTAGAATATTCCGATACTTTTGATCTGACTCGCCTGCTGCGTCGTGGCTCAATTCTGTGCTTTGAGGCTAAAAGACTACGGGTTTTGGTTAAAGCATTGCGGGTTTTGGCCAAAGGATTACGGTTGAGGCTGAAGGATTGTGGTTTTTGGCTGAATCTTGATGGGAAAAGGTGTATTGACACACACGGGAGCTTGTTAATCAATTCACTGAAATTTCGCATTCCTTTCGATGAAGCTGCCACCAATTATCCATGTCTAGATTTTCCATGGATCATATATCAGATTTCTCGATGCGATTGATTCTAAAATTTATGACTGAATGACGTACTGAAATGTCCTCCAGGAAATAAATTTCTTCATATAAGGATTGTCAGGCAGTTGTCTACGAATTTATTTGCCCAAAAACATCAACCATGGCAGTTTACAGTGTTTCACAGAATAATGTGTACGAAGCCAGCATTGAATTAAATTTTAGGAGGGTTATGACATTTTACAAGAAATCTGTGAGTTTGTTTACGTTTACTGATTCAATGTTCCCTATTCCGAACGGGTATATATTATGGTTTAAAAAAAATTAGCTTTAGTCTGCCATAAATTAGATGCCGTTTTATTCAATCGCAATTGCACGATAAATCATCTTTTCTCTTTTTCCTTCGCAACATCATGGATCGCCGCTTTTAAGGGTTCATTTCAACTCCTACACGGATTCTGCCTTAAGCAAAGAACTCTGCTGTCGGGCCAAATGTACTGACTATCAGTGAAGACGACACTTGAACGAACATCAATTGGTAATTGGGTTCATCCATTGTATGAGCTGATTGGCGCAGTGGTAACACACACGCCTTCCATGTGATGGGTTCGGAGTTCAAATCCTGAACGGGACGGTGACTATGCGTTACTGATGAGCTCTAATAGGAGGGAAACTCGAGTCTAGTACTTCCGAGTGTATGGTTGAACCGATGAACTGAGGATTGTGCGTGAAGGTGAAGTCCGAAGGATAGCCAGCTTAAATCAATAAAAATCAATTATCCCACTCACAAGTAATTGTGAGTCAAATGCTAAACATCCTAATTATTTCAAAACAAAATCGATATAGTGTTTTCTGACCCATAAAACCCATCCTAAGTAGTGTTTATTTTTGGCAGAAATATATTTTACCAAGGAATATTCAACTGAATTTAGAGGCTGAGTTTTTGGCAATTTAGTCTAACACGAAGCCAAAATGGTGTGGACAGCTTTTTATGTGTTATTCATCACTGATGCTTGTTTCAAATGTTCCGTTCTACCCACTGATAAGGTTCGATGCTTGAATTGCGTGTACAGTTTTGGTGATACTGCTTAAAATGAGCTTCATAATCGCAAAATATAATCTTAGATTACCCCATTTTTGTGTCCCGCTCAGTCAGTTGGTCAATCAGTCGTGCAGGCAAACACACACACATGCACGCACATCAGATGACGGACCAACACATTTGACAGGTACAGGTATGCGCCTCCCCTAGCGCCCCGTTTCAAAACGTGACCTTGAGGTGTCCGTTTGAGCGGATTTCACCGTACGCGTTTTGCCAGCGCGCGAACGAACCCATCGGAATGTTTGCATACGTATCACGTGTTTGCCGGTCTATTGATCTACAGACTAGCTGTGTGCACGCGTCTACCTCATCTTGTCAATAGTCATCCTTTGCAGTGACACACAACACTATCGCATAAAACAATTGAAATGGGAGTTTGACTCCTTGCAATTGTGAACGAAGTCCAGAAACTGAGTTGAAAACGTGAGCATCATATCCACAAAAGACGGAATGAAATGTGAGCATTATTGACGTGTTACATTTACGCAGCAACCAAATAATTTTATGATAGAAATGGTATTAGCAGTCCGTTTTCTTCCTTTTTTCTGTGTCTTGCAAGCATCAAACGACCATTCATGCGTCGTACCGGTTTCGTGAGCTATGATCTCATGATTTCAAAACTAACTATTGCCGTTTCTTTCATTCCATTTTATGTTCGATAATAGAGTAGTTCAATCGATATCCACATTCAGAAATGTATCCCAACGCTACGAGAAGAAATCACTTACACAAGAGTGACGAGCACAGTTCAGTCTCAGTTCTGTCGCATCAGTTCCAAAATAATGATTCAAAAAGGTACTCTATTTGACTATTATTCAATGAGTTCTCTCACAAATGATGCATCTCTGATGTTCCAATCCACGTTGGATATTGTGATGTACATGTTGATCAATAGTTTTCCCACACAATGCACAATGTACCTTTTACGAGTAAAAGTACGAATCGACACTGTTGGAACAATCCATCTATGTTCCAGAGTTATTAGTGCACGTGTGTGTATGCTTCCATTCCGTGGGCCACAGTTATTGCGTAATTATTAGTTGTTGTTGTTTTTGTTGTTGTTATCACATTATGCACTCAGGTTGATGAAAACCATGAATTTTTGGGTTTGTACTGCATAAAATGCCAGTCAAACCGGCATGGATTTGTCTGCCACAGACCAAAGTTGCGTTAATTGATGAGCTGAGGTAAGACCGGTTACGTTTTGGTTCCAATTATTGGTAGTTTAATCACATGTGACATCATGCACAATATGACGAAAGGTATTATAGTCGTTTATACTGAATAGGCATACTGAGGAAGATACTCACTGCATCGATTCCACGCTCTTCATCCAGAAGAGTGCTTGATGCAAGTAACATTTGGTTAGCAAATGGAAACTGTAACAATCGGCTGGAGTGTAGCAAATTAGCTTGTTGTTCGTACACACACCGGTGTGTTCTCAAGACTGTTAACGAACAATGCCAGGGATTATATCAGTGATGGCTAGTGCAAAATTACGTGTGAATTTCTGAGATGGCATGGGATACTACTGTGTGTTTTGCGGCGGAGTGGGTTTGTAAAGGTGCGAAGGTCACGATTGCGGAATATCTGCAACTAAGTGACGGGAAATTTGCAGTGAAAGATGCAATTCGGTGCAAACCCTTTGCGTGTCCAACACCGACTGTACTGGACATGATCCAGCATTGATATAAAGTTTATTGTCATATTGATCCCTTTAGAAAGTATTTGATTACCGTGCTACAGGATACCAACATTTATAACTAATTAAATTCGATTTATCTCATCCCGGAAGCACCTCAACCCAGAGATCAGCTCAATTCAGGCTCATTTTTGGATAAGCTCAACAATTACATAATATATGTAATGCAAGTGGTTGCCCTACTCTTGCCCTTGATGTATTTGTTGGGAATAGGCGCAAAGTCACTCACGAACAAAAGCGTGCACTTCGGAAAACCAAATAAGCATTGATCAATTAGTAGAAAGTTTGGATATCAGTTGATTTATAATTTTAAAAACAGATATAAATTTTCGATGCTCTCGGGCAAAAGCCTCTAACAGGAATTCCCTTCCAAACCTCAAATCCAACAAGAATGATTAACTCACTTGTTGGGGTGGATTACATACCGATTACAATCGCAGAACTAAGCGAAGGAAATAGGAGAGGGCCTGAACTTTCCAAGATCCAGATATATACAGTGCGTAGCACAATGATATTTTAACTTCGAGATTACGTTATCTACCAGTAATCAGTTATAAGGAAGTCCGCAGTATATAACGCATGTGGGAATTGAGGTTTATGCGTAAAGCCTACAATTGGGTAACAGCGATGTACTTCACCGTAACTGGCTACTCACAAGTAGGCAGCTGATAAATAAGGTTATTTCAAGGTCGGACTGCAATTTATGCTACACACTGCAAATTGTGTAGATGACCAGGGATAACTGAAAAGCACTGTCCTGTTTTCGAGACTACAAACCAGGACTGTGTTTACGAATGATGTCCGTTATGAGAATTTGAGGTAGTTTTTTAATGTTTTGTGGTCTACAAAGGAAACTGAGCGACAGAAGCCATTGAACGCAGTTACTTTCATTGACTTAGTAATATGAAAGAGGCAGAATGTACATTTCCCGAGCATAAGGGGTACATTCAAACTGAAGTAAACCCTGAGGGGCCATACCTAAATTAAATTACAACAAAACGATAGACCCTTGTTCACTTTTATTTGTTGAAGTTTCAACGGACTGACGATTTTCATACTGGTCATTCACATTTACAGTGGGTTGGAGCTAAACTATCAGGGTCCATACGCGACAGGAATACCTGGAGGAATACGTGGAATCACCGACATTGCGACATTTGTTACCCGCTGTAAATTGAGAAATGCCGAACATGTGTTAAAAAAAGTCACAGTAATAGAGATCTGTCAGACCCTTGTAACTCAACCTCTGAGCTGCAAACACGGATGGCCAGATTTTGAGTGCAATATTTTAAGACACGATTTATTTCAATGAGACCATACATGTGTGGTACAGAGTACGCCTGCTGGTAAATCTTATAAGACTACCTCCGTTCAGAATTGTCCATTCAATGCAGATGTGCGTGCATATTCGTGAGATTTGAATGACATAGACAACTTCTATATCACGATCCACCTCGAGCCCGGGAAACCCTGTTACTAGGGTCTGTTATCTCCAGTAGTGGTTTGATTACGGAAACTAATGTTGAAAACGCCAGAACGATACAGGGATAATCAGATAAAGTCAGAAAGAAGTATAAAAATGGCGCTACCAAGTATGGTTGTGAACTTCACTAAAATATGCAAACAAAATAAACACTATCAGGCCGGATAAACTTAATCTACTGGTAGAGAAATACAATGGTCAATCGATCGCATGTTCGCAGTTGCACGCGTGCCTATTGGTTCTTTGAACATTTGATTATTCGTGACTCATGCATCAAGTTAGATCATGCGTCACGTGGATAGGAATTTGGGCCGCCTGTATCAATACCAGCGTACGACTTTATCCTTTATGCTGATTACTACACGCTTCCTTCAGTTATGCTTCGAAATAAGAATTTATTCCCGATTGGAGGTTACTCTTCTTCCAGTCGATCTCGGTAGGTCTCCACTGATGAAGGGTAGCTGTAAAGAGGGAAAAATCCAATTCGCTGGGAATAAACTCGGTTAGAATGTGAGAGATATTTGTGGTTGTATTTGAACTATGAATTCTTCTATACAATGAGTTTCTTGATAAATGGAATGGGTGGCTTAAGGAATATGAGCAGGCTGTCATTAAATCGCGCATTGGTTTTCAATCTTGGTTTGTGTTGCAAGCTCAAACTGAAAACAATATTACAACAGAAGGCTTTTGTTTGATGGACGGTTGTTTCTTTGAAACGGGAACATAGATGCTTGCCTGTAATTCGCTGATTACAACTCAATAAATCGTACTGCTATTTGGACTCATGGCTTCCAGATGCAGGTAATCCACTGTCCGGTCACCAACCGGTTACGGGAGTTGAAAAATAAAGTGCATTGCACAAAACGGGTGATCCATGGACATGGAGAAGCCAGGTCCGCTCTCGTCGGTCGCATAGATCGTTACCAATGTACACAAACTGAGGTCAATCGAACCATATAAATCAGAAATGATTATTGAATGAGCTGACAGAGCGATACACTAACAAAACTAAGTATGATCGAATAGATAAATGCACAACATCGAAAATGATAGATCATATTTCGTGAGCAAAACACTATCGGCACGAAATTTTGATCGGGCTCTGCACATTTGTGATCAAACGAACCAATGAAGGAGTGATTGGAAACAAGCAAGTGTTTGCAACTAATTTTAATCGATGGAAACGGTGCAGGGTCATTTGGTTCGTACATTCTGATCACAGTTGTCAGAACAATTGCTTTTCATCACTCACTTGTTTTCAGCGATTGTAGTTTTTTGTTCAGCACCATCACCACCACCACAGCAGAATATGTTCGCCTACATGAAATAAGATTAGCTTTTGCAGATTTTGTTTTCATTTTTCACAAATATTTGCGCGTTTTCTATTTCCCATTCTCTTCTAGATTGAATTCGGTCTACATGTTTCATCTGATCAGACTGGTTACGCACAACGTTTTGACTCGAATCGCGCTTGTGACATTTGTCGGATTCACAGTCGGTATACTCATTGGACGGACATTCGTACTCACATGTTCAAAGAAATTCGTTTTCATCAAAAAGCCGCAGAGTGTGGAGGATACCATCAGACCGTTCATTTTTATTGGTGGTCATGAAAGTTCCGGTGAGCTTGCTGATGAAATAATCTACGTGAGCGTCGGAATTGTCCACTGTTCGTGTGACGTTTGTGGTGAATTTGGGTGTGATCGAAATGCGATTAGCAAGATTTTGTGTTTGTTTACCCTCCACGAGGAGAAAAACTAGGTTTTGATTTATACAGTTTCGCTGCTCACGTTTCACGCTCATGTTTTTAATGCCTAGCGAGATACTATAGAATTGGCGTTATTATATCGTAAAGTTCTCATAGGATGTTTATGTGAGACAAATAACGGAAGCAGAATCACAAACTGACTCGTTTGTGCAGCTATGAGGTTTAGAGTGTTCTCAACTAAGTCACTAAGAGACCAGATGAGATGTTCCCGGTCCGCTTGCGAAGATTGGTTGTACCACGTACCACGTAAAGTAAAACAGTCTGATCCAATGCGCTTCGGTGGTTGGGACGCCTGCGTTCTAACTGTAACATCTCGAGTTGGCAATCCTTGGCTAGTTTGATTAATTTACTCCAGAGCTTTACAGTTCGTTTGCTGCGTGTATGTTGACAAAAGTCCAAAATTAGTATTCCGTTTGAATGTGTTTTATTCATTTATTTCATACATTAGGTACCAGTTACAGGACATTTTCAGCTCCAATAGGTCTAGTACATCAGAGACCACATTTCATATGTATGCAGAGATGTGAGCGAACTTTTGTCAGGGAACAAATCAGGGAGCTTTTCTGAGCTTCATTCTGATACAACGTCTTCCTAGGTTTTCAAGATGATTCGAAATTAAGACTCGAAATGAATTAATCGTAAGTAGAACTTCATACAGTTCAACTCTGAACCGTACCCAGATTCATTATCAGGTGTCGAAGCAACAATGAAAGCTTATTTCGTGTAATACGTTTATTCAACATAATCCTGATTGTTATTTACTGGAAGGATTTCGTGATATTTACACCTTGAACTCTCCCGTGTGGTCAACTGGTTGAGAACACCGAACCAATCGTCTCAGAGCACCCAACAAAACATCAGAGAGAAAAGCGATCCAATTTAGTTCGCAAAGCGCCTAAGAGAGTACGGACTACTAATAGCTTTTCAAGGGTCTGGATTAATCAGGCGGTTGAATAGATACAACGTTTTGGATGAATCAAACAAAGTGCTTTACTTCACCCCATTTCTCCGAAATCACGAACCCGTTGGTGGAACAAAACGATTGGTTGGAGGATCACACAGGAATTTTGCACCGATTCACTCTGATCAGAAAATAAAGTGAATAATACGAATGGTATACTTGATAGACGGTCATGTAAACATTGCGAGCAGTATAAAGCGGTAAATCACAAATAATGCTCACAAATGATGTCCTTACTACCCCAATCAGCAATGAATTAAGTTGAATAGAAATCATTCCGGGACTGATCAGTGTTCTTTCCGAGTACATGGAGGACTGAAAAATGTGTCTGCCTGCCTGCCTGCCTGCCTGCCTGTCTGTCTGTCTGTCAGAGCGGTGCACATCAACTGAATTTCTTACAATATGTGGGCATACGTGGGCGAGGTGTCGAAAGTTGTGTTACAGTGAAAAACGATCATATGTTTTGGTAACCAGTAATAAACTAACGGACAAAGTAGAAAACTTTGATGAGATTCACGTAGCAGACATGATTTCTAGTGGTCGTATTGAGAGGATTTTCCAAGCACCAGTAACCAGTTATGATGAGGGTCGAAGAGTGCTTGTCACATTTTGGCCTATCGCTTGGACATTTCAAGTAAACCATACAACAGTTGACAAGTTTTTATGCTTATGAAAACACACTCGGGATCATCAAGTGATATCGGTAATCATAATTGACTTAACTCATCGATCCCTATAACCGTTGTCTTGAAGTACCTGGGGATTAAAATCTAACCGTAATGTACAGTTTGACACGAAATAAAACATTCTACCTCTGCAGTTTGCAAACACTGATGATATGTACTGTGTAGGGCACAATTCTCGAATAGAAAGATACCGTCTGGCAAGCAGGGCGAAATGGTCTCCAGGTTCAAAAGTTTGCCATTTTCACATTCTCCTAGGGCCACAGGTCCTCATCAAATTTCTTATCAGCAGTTCAAAGTGTCTTTCAGTGGAGGCCATTGTTTTACGATACACAGGAAGCTTTGGTGCGTTTGGCGGTGATCCCCGTCAACCGATATCAGTAAGTGCTGTTAACAAAAACGGATTAGAATTGAGCACTCATATGCATTGTTCTAAATAAGGTCAATATGAATTCGTACATAACAACTCTGCCTCTTTTCGAGGTAGTTTGTAATGTGACGTTCATATGTACACCAGTTCGATGAACTGATTCGTAGTGGAGAAAGTCATTCCTGTCAACCTATGAACATCTTAATTCACTGACCGATTACGAGCGACACGAAGTCAAGTTCCTATTCGTGGGGTAAAAATACAGAGTCTCAGTTATACCCAATTTTTGTAAATTCAACTCAAGTTTCAGACAGCCGTAAAACACATGTACACATTTCTTCCCATGAGCCATTTGACCGACATTTGCGAGGTGGCATTCTGTGAATTACGCTGTTCAGTTGAGAAACCATTTCGCTTGTGACTTTTCATGAATGATCTATGCTTGAATTCACTGCGTGTGCATCCGAAGGGGTCTATGTGAAGGTATAAACATAACAGTTGGTTGATCATTAATGAACCTCATTCCAAACATTCGTGCTGTTTACGAACCTCATCAAAAGGACCGTTAGTCCGGTGGTAAAATCCAACATGTCAGCTTGCCCCAGACTATTGCACATACAGTCGTACAATACTGGCTGAAAGCTTTTCATTACACACAAAATGAATTTAATTGCATGGCGCTTTTTATTGATGAGTGGGTTTTGTTCTTCTTCCTGTTCTACGCAGTCGTGCACAGTAAAGGATTAAAAGGTCGATTAACACCTCAGGAGTAACATATCGTGTTTTGTAGCAGATCGGTAAAAAACCTCTCCGTATTTGGGTTTTGTGCAGAAAAATTTATGTGCAACGTCCGGTTTCCTCTAATTTGCACGTTGAATGCATTGTTTGTGCTTTTTATCTCTCTTTTCTGCGTGCTCATCTTTTTATTGTAGTATGCACAATGCGAGTTAAGCAGCGATCCCTGAAATGTGGTGAAATGTTTTTGTTTCAAATGACAATTCGTCGTGTATATGGCAAATGAAGCGTGAACTGAAAAGCTCGGAAGCACTGGACAGCTGTTTCGACCTGGTTGGGTCTCATCAGCAGTGCGAATCCATCGACCCGACTGGGGATCGAACCCGGGACTTCATGGGCAGAACGCAAGCGTGCTACCCACTATGTGCCCACTTGTGCTATATCGTGTAAATG